ACAGCAATGATTGAACAACTCACTCTTTGCCTTGGCACAATCCACACAGGAAGGCTTCAACTGTGGGGAAACTAGTGCTATTTAGGCTGTATCTGGTCAACTATCCTTCATTACTTCTTCTTCTTTAAACTATGCTAAAATCAACTGAACACAAAATCCTCGACAGCACTCACCCATGCAGCTTTGGCTCTCTTGCATCTCATTTGGCTGGTGCTGGCAAGCTAACTTTCTATATTGGTCTTGGCTGAAGAACTGCATCATCCTGTGGTATATAGAGTTCCTCAGCATTTCTGTATTGCCAGATGGCTGCACTGCTGACCCTACTGTTGGAGTATACAGATGTCACAGCGATTCTTCCACCTGGCTAAACCAGCACAGCTGCTTCGCACCACAATGGGAATTCACGTGGATTTCACTCATCGCTCCCCACCATGTGATGTGTCCATGGTGGTGTCTAGAGATCACGTGTGTCTCCTTGCCGAAACAGAACTGCCTTCAGAATGGGCCATATCTGGGAGTAACCCCATGTTTCGTCAGGATGTCTGCGGGTTGATTGCTCCCGGTAGATGATGAAACGAGATGGTCCCTGCGGCAAATGGCTTCTCTGACGAAGTGGTAGGAGAGGGCGTGATGTCTCTTCTTGAGGGGCGAATGGGGCTGGGTGGAACTTGTCACACAGACCCATTGTCGCCAAACATGTATGTTGGCCCTTTACCTCCACACCAAGATATAGTGTACTGGCTGAATGCTGTTGGGTGGCAACCTTAGCAGCAAAATCCTATGTGGCTGCTTCCACAGTAGCTTGCTATCTCGCATGTACTTCGAATGGGGCTTGGTCACATAGTGCAGTACACCGTGACTGCCTTGCCATTACCCAATCGTGGTATAGGTTTGCATCCACATAGGTCGTCATACTACCGCTTGCCTTTGGCTGTGGGGCATCTACTGGAGTTCCTCCTGTGCCTCCCATAGACCGTCCTTGTCCAGTGTGGCTCCTCAGGTGATATATTCTGGGTTATGTCTTAAGTTGGAGATATATGAGTCTGTTCCTGATCTGCGTTCATCTTGATTCCGTCTCTCCGCAAAGCATCAGTGTCATCGTGCTGTGGTTTTACAGGATGCCCGTGGTTGGGCATTGGGTGAATTATGTGCACAGGTCTCGCAAGGACGACGAGTTGTACAATTTATCGTCCTGTTTGGGAGATTTGGAATAGCGTGGCAGCAGCTTTGTGGCTGGGCCCAGATTCCCTACTGTCAGAGGAGTGAGGCTCCAAGCAGAGCTCTCCATCCAGCCAGCTCTTTGTGATCTACCCTGACTGGAGGTTCTCATCGGTTTGGAGTTAGGAGCGCAGTGGTTGATCTGGAGCAACAGCCACTTCTTCAATAAATCCATCGTCTTTCTCTTGACACCTCCTTCCGTAGCCTTTGCACCGTAGCTCATGACACTTTCTTCGATGGCCGGTGACTTCAACCCTTCTCCTTTCACCCAATACTTTGCGTCAGGCTTCACTGTCACTCCGTGCGAAAGCCACCACCCATTGGCAGGAACTTTGGGAAGAGCAACAATACTCATCAAGCAAGCATCAGTAGCAAAATCAAGGCAGCCTTCATCATAGTACTCAACTCTGATAGCGCGGTTCATGTGAAAGTTGTAAGTACAAAACGGCGAAATGGCGCAAAAAAGTGTCACAATGAAGCTGATCTTTTCTGTTCTTTTTTTTTTCAGTTAGCGTGATTCTTATCGAGCGTGCATACCTACGCTGATTTCGATATCTTCATATCTTTCTTCCAATGCGAATAACAGTTTCGGCCGCTACTATTCCAACACACAACAAACTACTTGCCCTCCAACAATGGGTAACAGATCGCATGCACTCTCCAATGACATGATACAAGTCACTATACATTGTTAGTACGGGGGCAGCAGGTGCCGAAGAAAGAACATAATATTGGCTCACTATTGAGCCAAGTCAATGCCACAACGCGTATTCCATTGTGTCGGCAGTTTTTCATACGACGGCAGTTACTGTTGGTGCATCCACACAACACTTTTTGTTTCTTTCACCTCACAGAGATAGAGCATTATCTACTCTATAAGATGGAATATAACAACATGGACATGCGATGTGCTTTCGAGGAGGAACGGCAATCGGTCTAAGCTAGCCTCACAATGGAGTTTTCTCACTTTTCTTGTCGTGATAATGCTAGTAAACGGTGCATGTTTCACACTTTTAAGAAAACACCCCGTGGGACATCCTTAAATGGACAAAATGCTGAGTAACCCAGAACCAGAACGTCCGGAAACAAAACTTGAGTCGTTTCGATTGTGTCAGTTCCACACCACCTGTGAAACTACATACAGCAGTTTCACACCCGCGAAACTTCGTACCAGTAGTTTCACAAGTGTGAAATTGAAAATAGTAACTAACTACCAGAAGCCTGTTGTGAAACTAACTGTGTACTTGTGTATGGCTGATTTTCACAAATTCGTGAAACTAAATCAGTTTCACGTTTCCGTGAAACTATAAAACTAAAAACATGAAATGAAACTACAGCTTTCGGACATTGGTGGTGCATGATGGCAGCATCTGGTGAGCGGACTGGTCCTGCGGTAGAAAATCCTTTCGTCTGGCAGCGTCAATAATCCCATACCGGCACATGGCATATCCTTTTATAGTGGCAGCATCATCTGGTCAAATAGTAACCCCTTCGAATGGTAGTACTGGTACACGTACCCTACCGGTATCGGTACCCGTACCGTTACTGCAGATATACCGGTACCACCAAAGAGAAACGGCCATTCGGCCAATGGCCAAGCAAGTCTCAAAGATGCGGGCTCAACAGACGCTGCAATCATGCACCAAAGGATAAACACCAAAGGGAAACGGGCAATCTCCATTGGCCAAGTCTCACTCTCTTTGATCATAATAATAGACAAGATCATAATATTGGACAAACCCCACTCAAGTGAAACCGCGCTACCATTATGAAACTCACCCGTGCCCTCCTTTCAAGCTACCTTGCTTGTAGCTGCATCCGAACAAGGAGAAGACAATGTACAGACCACAGGTGAGCCCCGCAAGCTCAAGTCCTATGCTTATGATTGGTGGCGTTCAAATGAAGTTGGTGACAGGCCTAAAAAGCCAAAACTCAGCGACAAGCAAGGGGGATCTGAGGAAGATGGTGGTGGTAGCGCAATCAACCCAGGACCTGAACCTGTTGCTAGAATTCCTCGTCTCGAAGTCATTGACGGTTTGATCCAGATTAGCGAATTGCTTACCTTTGCTGAGGACGCCAAAACGCAGGAAGACACCGAAGATGCCCTCAGTAATGTCCGTTCAGAGCTGGATATGTACATGGAAGAGTTGATGGCCCCGCCCCCACCAGGAGGCCGGCCAGTGCGTGGTCCACCACCTGTACCTGGCCTAGTTGGAGCAGGTAGTAGAAGCGACAATGATGACAGCAGCGACAGCAACGATAGCAACGATAGCAACGATAGCAACGACAACAACGAGAGCAACGATACCGACGAATAAGCCAAAAGAATGCTGCTATTCGTGATGCACGTTTCCTGCGGTGTCCTTTCTTCTGTTTCAAGTGAATAAGGTGGGCGGTCGATGGGCGAGTCAAGAATAATGACTTGATCTCAGACACAAGAATGGTAGCCAGTGGTAGTGGCTGCTGTAACCCTGAAGTAAACCTTTCAATATCAATGCGTTCATTGTTAGCACAACCAATGTTTAGACAACACATAATCTCCACAAGCTGCAGGCAGGGAGGGAGGTGACACCACCAGCCAGGCAATGTGGTGGTGTAAAGCTAGGATGGAAGCGGTGACAGGCAAGAAGGTGACAGGCAAGACGGTCCGGGAGTGCGCATGGTCTGTGTCGACGGTACCATTGAACTGGTCAACGTTGCTGCCGTTACTTCTGGCATGCCTTGTGAGGTTTTAGGCGCCAGTTCCATTGAAATTTCTCCAACTGAACTGAAGGGGCCCTCGTCAATTGGCCCTTTGAGGTGGCTGAGTTACAGAGTATGTCAGCTTGCTCGCAAAGGGTCCAGCATTGTTGTCTGTGTTTCAGCAATGCACTAAAAAGGCAGCTGATGCATGCCACCGTCATGCATGGAGTACATTGAAACAGGAGTTGCATGCCTTTCTAGGCTATAGCTCGGAGGAGAAAGTGGGCCGCTACATTGCCCTCGGAGTGCTGTGTGGTGATCAAAAGTACTATTCCACAGATGTGTTTTTTGAAGGCGAAACTTGACGATGACAACACAATCCAAACAGATGATCGCCGCTTCTCTCTTTATTCCCAGATGCCGGTTCTTCCAAAATGCCCCAAGGATGCCTGTCGAGCCCGTCCAACGACTGCCTTTATGGTCTACAGATGGTCGTTTCTGTCAGGGACGTACGCTATTCATTTTGGGCAGATTAAAGGCGGTGTAAATCATTCTATACAGAGACTTGGGACATCGCGACGGCTGTTCCTTGCGCACAGTTCCTGGTACGGTTCCGGTAGCTCAGAAGCGATACCACGGCGAAGGTGCAAGCTCTAAATGAAACCAACAGGCATTGGCCAGCGTTGTTCGATTCGATTGGACTTCATAATACTTCCTGTCCAACACATAGTGGCGGTTCCTGGCTATTAGCTAAAAATGCGGCTTTGTTGACAATGCATGTACGGTATAGTCTAGTCAACGCAGGAGGAATGCACTATGACGTTTTAACTATTTTTTCTTCATCACTGCCGTTGTCATCAAGAATATCAGACGCAGTAGATCGATGAACTGAAATTCCATTCTGGCTAGCCTGCGGGAGCTATGAAGCTGGAATCAATTGCAGCAGCATCAGAATCACTCCCATCCCAATCAAAGCCAGAGCACACCAATTGAGCGGGACAAAACAGAACATATCCGATTCTTGTGGTTCCGTCAGAAAGAGGCCAAAATTTCCAAGCTCGAGATCGCCATCCAACAGGGAATAGCCCTCTTGATTGAACTTGTTATCGTCATCCACATGATAGGCCACTGCAGCAACAATGATACCACTGATCAGCACGCTCAACCCAATCGACCAGAAATGACTTTCGTAGTAGCCCTTGCCCCAACTGTGGTCAATCGTCAATTCCATCAACAATGCAACCACAAACAGGACGATTGGCACTGCCAATCCAAAGCGACGATAAACACAGATTGCAAACATTGTTCTGAGCTTGGACTCAATTGTTGTTACTCTCGCTGCTTCTTCTTGCGATGTCTTGTGTTGTGTAGTGTTGATGTCCTTCGTGTCCCGCTGTTGTGCTCTTGGTGGTTGGCGGAGTGAGTAGGTCAAGATTGGAGGTGGTTTTGAGAATGCAAGACTGTGGCTTGAGCGAGGACATCGTGGAAACATTTATAGCGTGGTTTTCAAAAATGTTTTTCTAAACTTTAGTTTGCTCCTGCCTTATAGTCTACCAGGAGCTCTATCAGATACATCTGCTTGCTGTACAATCGTCTCTCCCCAGAGACAAATAACTCAAACATCGAATTCAGTTTCCAGAGTGTTCATCCAGTCGCTATCGGTATCGGTATCGCTTTCAAATTCGAGGGACTCGCTTGTGTCGGTTATTGGGAGCCCATTTTCGTCCGCGCTACCATCCAATTCCTTGACTGGAGCATTGGCGCTTCGCGGGGTCACTCTCCAGCCAGTCTCCCCAAAGATTTGCTTGATGAGGGCTACACGACAAATGACATTCTTCAATTCAGTGTAGAAGAGGACAGAGAAGAAGGCGTAAATGACAAACCACCATGGTTTCTTGAGCGATGGATGTGCGAGCCCAAAAGTGACGAGGACAGTGATTGGGCCAATTACGGAGGTGTAAATGGAAGAAGTGATGAATAGAGGAATTTTCCAATCCATGTTGTCGCCTCGGATGTACCAGAAGATGAGAAGAGGGATAATTTGCATGGAAATCCATGGGTAGATTTCACGGACGAAAAGAAGCATGAATGCCCCCAGTTTGCTTCGAATACCAAAGTGTGGGTTCCGTATCATTGGCCACAGGTGCTTGATAGAAACCTGCATCCATCCTTGGGCCCACCGAAGACGCTGGTTCCAGACTTGAAGAAAGGTAGAAGTCGCCAGTTCAAGGCTGATGAGTTCAGGGTCGGTGCCGATCTTGCCCCCCTCTTCGATAACGCGCATGGAAGAGTCGATATCCTCAGTCAGCATCGCTCCAACCATTCCAATACGTTGGAGCAGGGCTGTATTCCAGTATCCATTGGAACCACCAAAGACACCAAAGCCATCGCGAACCGTTCTCCCGGGATGGGCGAGTGCGTAGATAGTTTCGAACTCAATGGCAACCATCTTTGCCCAGAAGCTCTCTTCGGGGTTTCGGACGAGGCAATGACCCTGAACCACATCATACCCATTAGACAGCCATCTCCAGGCGCGCTCAAAAGAGCCCTGCTCGGGCATGTGATCGGCATCGAAGCAAGCTACAAACTCTCCAGTGACATATTTTAGAGCCGTGTTCAAGTTTTCGGCCTTGGAGGTGGAGCCCTTGACCTTGAGCAGATCAAAGTTTGGATGTATCTTGGCCAGTTCCCGGAGCTCGGCTTCGATGGGACAATAGAATGGTGAATTGTAACTCAGGATCACTTGTAATCCGGGAGCATAATCAAGTGCGAGGAAGTGATCGATGGTTTCCTTGATAGTGTACTGTTCATTCGGCATGTAAGCGCAAATAATGGCCGACGCCGGTGGTTCAGGTGCTCCTGCGGTCTCTGGGGCTCCCTTGTGACAAGAAGCAATACAACATTCGGTCAAAATCATCGTTGCAATAATAGCCAGCATGCAGGTTGTCATCATGTAGACTGCATCTGAAACATCAACGTCAAGATAAGCCCACAGCAGCCAATAGATTGCAAGTGGAACACCGATTGACAACACAAAGCTCAACAGAGCTTGCAAGAAGTCGACGGTGTAACGAGATAACTTGGCAGCCATTATGTATTTGCCTTGAAACCTGTTTGTTTTGTGTTCTTGATTGTAGAGAGTTGGATTGTGAGACAGGGTTTGTTGAAACACTTACTTGCCCCATCCTGTATCAGCTGAGGAAGCCGACATGATGGCTCCATGTTTCAAAGGTTTCACATCATCGGTGCCACCAGGAAGCAAAAAGCCTCCAGACACCAACCCATGCCTCTTACGTTGCAGTCCTCGCTCGGTTGATGAGGAGGGTTGTGGGTTGCGGGTTGCGGGAACGGCGGACGTAAGTTAGTAAGCTCAGACAGGTCTTGCTTGTTCCTCTTCCTGAACAGTTCATACTTCCTCGTAGTGTCGTTGATGGGCATTGGGAGAAGGAGTCTCAGTCGCTGGAACAGAAGTAACCTAAATAAAATATTGAGATGCAGCGGGAGTCACACTAAACTAATCAGCATCCAATTTCTTCGGCGAGCGCACTTTGTGGAAGTCATCATCAACTGAGCAGAAGTAAGCAGTGGGCAGTTGGCTGCGGTACGTACAGTCGTACTCCAAAGGAACCTTGTTTGAGCTGATATTATTGCCTATAAAATTGTTTTAAGTGAATTGACCTTTGTAAATGGCAAGATGTGTTCAAAATACCCCCCCTTATTCCGCTTGACCAAGATGCACCTATGACATTTATTTATTTGCCATTTATAGACTAATTGCTTCCTTTTCTTTTCTGTGCTCGTAAGTCTTTCCAGATATAAAGGTGATATCCAAGGATATTTCAGTCATTTCGCAAGTAAGTATGACTGGAGACACAGAAACCTTTTGCAAAAGTACCGGTACTGTACCTGAATGACTGATTGAATCGTTCGCCGTGTCTCAAAATCAATGGACCAAAACCCTTCTATAAATCATCAAAAACAATAACTTCCCCAAGGAAGCTCTCGACTCGTCGTTGGCGGTAATAATCCGGGTACGAAGCGGTGCTGGCTAGCTAGAGCTACGATACTATTAATACTGTACGTACCTGCATGTAGCTTCCATGGGAAGCATACTACATGTACATGTAGTAAATCCATGGACACCATCGTTTGCAGTGTTACTGGCCCGGTCCAGTACTGTACGGCAGTACCCTCCCGCGGAAGCTGTGGTATGGGTAGAGTACTGCCAGCAAGAGGATTGAAGATGCGGGATTGTAACAATGTCATTGTAACTCCCGAACGAAGCATAAAACTTCAACCTTCCCAGAGCTAGCCACATGTAGTTAGTCACGACTGTACTACTAGCTACCTCCCAGCCTACGGAGTTGAGCACACGGAGGTGGAGAATCCTGCGAAAACATCGTGCCAAGATCAATAGGTTCCAAGTTCCAGCACCAGGTTGCGTTGGAAGGCCGCAGAAGCTGCCGCAGTGCACTTCCATTTGCTCCAAGGCGGAAGTGGAGATCCTCCGAAAACACATACATGTAGTGCAGAGACAAATCCATAAGTTCAAAGTTCCAACTGGTTGCGCTGGAAGACAGGGCACTTCCCTTCTAGTACAAAGATGACGACTCGCTACTCAGTAGTGGATATCGCGGTACTAGCTAGCTAGTACCCGGAACGGATTGCTATTGGCATGTTTGAAATTTTAATGATTACTCATCCGAGTACTCGTGTAGAAAGATGCAAATACATGTACTAGCTAGTAGTGGTGGTTTGGACTCGACTCACATGGTTTCCCTCGCAGTGAGGGGAACACTGTGTCGCCCAACATTCCATTTTTTAAGAAAAATCGTTTTCAGGGGCATTACCAGTGCTGACAACAGATAGATGTACCCCTAGCATAATTTGGCTGTGCCCCTCGCTGTGATGATAGCTGCTGCTTCTTTATATAGTTGTTTAAAATGATAGATTACGTTGCTTCGTTTACGTTGTCTGGTTGCTGCTGCTGCTGCTGTGATGCTTGTTCATTGTTCACTATTGTTAGTTGGAAATTGGTACTTGGATCCTTCCACCAAGAACTCTTTCAGAACTTCCACCTCCAAATCGTGCACATCACCACAAATAATGAGAGAATGCAGTGGCGTTCCCATATCGATTTGGGCTAATTCTTCCAATGTCCCGGCGATAATTTGTTGTGTGGGTTGTCCCATGCGTGCCAATCCCACACACAGTGCCGTGCCATAGTGTGTTTTGTTGTTGTTGTTGTTGTTGTCAGGTAATAATAATTGCTGGGATGTAATCAATTGTTGTGCGGCAGTTGCGACGGACATGAACCGAGGTGGCAAATATTCCGTCTTTCCCTTCATCATGGCTTTGAAATCGGGTTCCTTGACTTTGATATCGAGCAAGCACAAGGTATGCATGCCTCCTTGTAAATTGTATTCGATTTTGGGCACAAAACTGGTGGGTTTCCAATTGTCTTCAAAAAAGGGAATACTAACGGTTTGTCCAAAATTGTAGAGTGACAATCCACTGGATGCGGCCGCTCCCATGATACTGGCATTGTGGACAATTTCGACCTGAATACCCTTTTGACGTGCCCGCAACCACAAATCCGTATGGGTGGTAGCACACAGCGGATCTCCAACGACCAAAAAAGCGACATTCTTGTCGTTTTGCAAAATAATTTCGTCGGCTTGAGTTTCGACGGTATCTCGATCCGCGACGACAATGGGTTTCCCGTAGAGGGCTTCTAGTTTTTCTTTATCGACAATTCCCAGCACGGACGTGTACGCTTCGAGAACGACCAAATCGCATTGTTGGACAATCTTGAGTCCCTTGACGGTAATGTCATTCTCATCTCCCAGACCCAAGCCGACCATATACAGGACCATGATTAATGAAGATAATGCTATCGATGTCTCAAACTAGATAGATAGATAGAATAGTTGGATTGATGAGTTAGGTTTTGTGGAAGCAGCAATTTGTGAGGAAGATTGCCTCATCGATTTGAATGGCTGAAGGCGATTCATGCTTGTGACGTCATCAAAGATCCAAAAGATACCCATCCCTCTCCATTATCTTCCCACAACCTTGCTACTCTGACGAACGAGTCCGGATTTTTCAAAAAGTCCGGATTTTTCTTGCTGTATTCAACTGAAAGGTCCAGATTGATCCAGATTGATCATTGACCCTAACCCTGAAGCAATCCTGACTTTTCAGTCTGAGAGTGTAGATTCGCTAAGACTTGACTAGGGCATCCAAAAATCCGGACTAAATCGTCAGAGTAGCTTGGTCCTCCTTATAATAGAACAAGAACATGTCCTCCCTCCCCTCTTCTTCTTCTTCTTCTTCTACCACACGCGGTGCCGACTTGGTCCGGAGCCTTCCAGTGGCAACCGCCGGTACCATTGGATTGTGCTGTTCGGTCTACGTGTCGCAACTGGTCTTGGATGTTCCCGTCCGTCTCTTTACTATGAATCCCCGTCGCATTTTGTACCTGCACGAATACTACCGCATGGTCTCGTCGTGTTTCTTCCACGGCAGTCTGATGCACATTGCCATGAATATGATGTCCACCGCCGCCATTTCCACACTCATGGAACGACGACTCGGGACGCTGGCGTATATTCTCACGGTTCTCTGGGCGGTCCTATTAACGTCCAGTCTCTACGTGGCATTGGCGTATGTATCGCATACACTCTTTTGGTCGGATGGACTCTTGAATTCACACGCCGTGGGATTTTCCGGAATCATGTTTCATTTGTTGGTCCTCGAATGCAACTTGGTGCCGGCGGCTACTCGCAGTATCTTTGGGCTGGTACAAGTGCCTTCTTACGCCTATCCCCTTGCCATGCTCGTCGTCATGCAAGTCATATTGCCCAATATTAGTTTTTGTGGACATTTGTGTGGCATTGTCACGGGAATGCTGCAATTGTACGGTGTTCTCGATGTGGTCTGTTTGGTAGCAGACGAATCGCATCTCCAAACCATGGAACAATGGCGGATATTGAGGCCCATTACCAGCAAGGAGAATTATGTGCCTGTTCGAATCAATAACAGCAGCAATAATACGAGCGACCTACGACGAGATCCCAAAACACTCTGGCGATCCACTCAACGAACGTGTCACTTGGCATGGACGTTTGCATGGAATATTCTGGAAACATGCCAAGTCGCCATTTTCGGACGAGGAAGACGTGTCAATGCCAATATCTATTTTCCGGCTGCAACAACAAGATCACGAGGAGAGGATCACAGCAGTAACAGCATACAATTATTGCAACAATCCGCAGAGGAGGAGAGCAGCAGCAGCAACAACAATTGGTCACCACCGCCTCGACAACAGTCGCAGTTGTTATAAAAAGATATGGTATGGATTGATTGGGATATTGATGGAATTGATTCAATTTGGGCGATTTGCAAAGCCGATTCTGTTTTTACTTTACTGCCTGATGAACGGGTGTAAGATTGTGGGGACACATTTTGGACGACCCATTCTATGATTTCAGGCTTGGAGAGGACACCTTTTGGGTCAAGGCAAGAAAAACTGCTTCGCTTGCTTGCTTGAATCCACATTCTTCTGGTAGTGCAGACGAGGCACAAAACCGCTTCGCATGGCCATAAAAAGGACCAAGGGAACTACCAGGTATTTGGGAGAGAAATGATGTGCTGCATGGACCCAAATAATGTCACGGGGCTGCTATCTCCATAAAAATCAACAACCCTTCCCATTCCTCCTCCAGCTTCACAGGCAATAAATCGTCTCTTGCTATTATCATACCTTTTCATCCTCTCTACCCCTCCAATAGTTGCTACCATAATCAAAACATAACTCTTCTCCTACAGCGATATCTCGTGCCGTGAAAAAGGCCACAAGAGACGGTTGCTCACTAGAGCTCAAGCGCACACAATTGCACCCCACAGAATTGGAGTCAGCATGGTTCAAATGAGCCGGAGAAAAGACGGTCCGATCTTGGGCACGTTCGTAGCCGTCCAAAAAGGTGACACCGCCATCGATCGATAACAGGTATTCTCCTCCATTGTCGACTATTGGTTGTTCCAGTGGCTGTTCCAAGTCTCGAAAAATTTTGCTAGTTGTAGGATAGAATCCCAAAAAGGTATCCTGGGGGATACCCTCCAAGACACAAAAGGCTCCATAGCCCTTTTCGGCTCCAGCAGATTGAATGGCAATTCGTTGTACTATCGCTTCTGAAATAAAAGTGTCGGCGGGAGGAATGATCAGCAAGCTATTGGATGCAGATGGTTGGCCGATGCGAAGGACGCCATCATCAAAGGCAACTCGACCACCTCCAGGGAGATTAATCGTCCAGGCATGACAGGTACCGGTACTGATAATCAACAACAACGCCAGTGGAAATATTCTCCAATGATGGGAGCGGATGGGAAACATCCTCACTGGTATCTTCGATCTTCGAAGCTGGATTTTGTCGGTTGACGACCAAGAGACACGGCGCCATCGCATCGTGGCCATGCATCGTGCGTGATCCAGGCGTCCTCCACGCTGTTTCTTCCACGCTGTCGGTTGCTGGTGTGAGTGAGGAGTCACCACGCTAAACGCTACGATGTATCTTTCGACGCTGGAGACGCCACTCTTCCTTTCGCCCACAGTCAAGTTATTCCATAAATTCTTCGGCACAATCTTTTGCTACGGTAGCTAGTCTGCAAACGTACATTTGATCTACCGGTAGCTACTAGCTAGCTGCCATCAACAACTAGCTTCGTTCCGCCATGTCATCCAAAGCTGCCGAGGAAGCCATTGCGCACCCACAAAGGAAGGCACAGCTAGAGCCTGCAACACTAAATCCTGCAGATGAAGTCCTGAGTCAAACAGATATTTGGGTCAATAACATTCTTCCTTTCCTTGGAGTGGGTCATTTTGTGTTTGTTGCGCTGGTCAGCCACAAGATGAAAGATCTATACACGACTTTTGTGAAACGGTGGAGAATCCTCCAAAGGTGATTGTGTCATCTTCCCCTTGGCAACGCTCTACAGCCGCAAATGACACATTCCTCAGTGCAATAGTCTCCAGTGTGTCTTGTGCGGATTACTGGTTCAACTGCAGTCGTACTAGCACTGGTAAAGAGATCAATGGTGTTGTTGTCTGTGCTGAAGCTGCCAAAGTGGGCAGTGTTCAAGTGCTGCAATGGGCCCAGGAAAAGGGATTGGATTGGGATCACAGAACATGTTGTGAAGCTGCCCGCAATGGTCACATAGGAGCACTGAAGTTTGCCCATGGACGTGGATGTCCATGGGATGAAGACACCTGCTATTATGCTGCTTGGAATGGTCATTTGGAATGCCTCAAATTTGCCCATGAAAATGGCTGTCCATGGGATGATGGGACATGTGCTGCTGCTGCTAGAAAAGGCCATTTGGAATGCCTCAAATATGCCCATGAAAATGGCTGCCCCTGGGATGAAGACACGTGCTTTGCTGCTGCTAGGAAGGGCCAATTGGAATGCCTCAAATATGCCCATGAAAAAGGCTGTCTGTGGGATATTGAAACATGCAATGTTGCTGCAAGAGAGGGAAACTTGGTATGCCTCAAATTTGCCCATAAAAATGGATGGCCTTGGAGTGAAAACACTTGCAGCATTGCTGCTAGGTATGGACAATTGGAATGCCTCAAATTTGTCCATGAAAATGGCTGTCCATGGGATAAAGCCACATGCCGCTTTGCTGCTAGATATGGTCATCTGGAATGCCTCAAATTTGCCCATGAAAATGGCTGTCCATGGGATGTCCAAACATGTTATGATGCTGCTAGCAATGGCCATTTGGAGTGTGTGAAGTATGCCTATGAAAACGGCTGTCCCTCCTCTCCTGAAGGTTTGCTGGCACTTGGAACTGTGCCCAGCAATGTAAAGACTTGGGTTAAAGGAATCTTAAATACATGGGTTAAAGGAATCATGTCCCATCGCAATATCTGAGATTCTTTGGAGGAACATGTACAAGCAGCCAATCTACATGTATGAGAAGACACTTAACTTCATTATGCTTCCAGACGCAACAGTGCAGTTTATTTTATCCTGTTTTCGAAAGGCTTTAAAAGTACATGACACCCACTAACAAAGTAGTAATCTACTGGTGCCGGTACATCGTACCCAGTTCGCTTCTCAATCCCATTGTTACACTATATAAACCAGGGAGCTCTACTCGTGTGGTTCATTCATTGCCTCCTGCAGAGAGTGGTAACCCTCACGGTCCGGTGTGTCATAGGTCTTGTCCCAAGCCCATGGCTCATCCTTGTCACTGTATCGTTCGAGTGCTTGAGTCTGAAAGGGCATGGGCACAGTGGCGGTTCCTGGAGCTTGATTGCCGTCCACAAACGGCACGAGCTTTTTCACCCCCACGGTATCCGGCGACACAAAGACCCCCAACTCCCACGATTTGACATGAAGATACTTCTGGCCATTCTTTGTACTGATGGTCCCCCAAGCCGGTCGAGAAATGTTGTGTGAGGTCACTACCAGC